CCCCCAAAACCCCAAAACCCCTTGAGATTTAAATTACTTAAATAACAGATTATTCAAGTAGGTTATTTAAATAAAAGTTATAAAATTTATCTAAAAATGAGAGATAATGGTATGATGCTTCTCGAGGATGAGGAAGGTGAAGACACTAGATTTAACCAGGGAGGAAAGTCAGATTCAAAAAATTTTAATAAAGGAAACAAGATAGAAGAGAAAATTAAGTTCAACCTCTTTAATATTTTCTTCTCCCTACTGAAAGGACTTAACATGAATCCCTGGAAAATATACACTTTAGTAGCTATTGAATTCATATAATTTCTTTCTTTTCCTTTTCATCCAACTGTAAGATTAATATTTTAGGGATCTTTAAATATAGTTGGTTTAATAATGGAAAGATTATGATGTTATGGACTATGTAACAAAGGGATTCTAAGTATTCAGCATAAAGCACTGGATAAGAGAAGCAGAAATAAGCTATGACGATTACTTGATAGCATTTTACATCATGATAGTCTTTGTCTTTCTTATTATTATCGACTTTATTTATGTATCCTTTGCTGTCAACAACCAAAAACACTCATTGTCATTTACATGGCCTATGTCTATTTTGTAGTATTTCTGTCTAATTCTTATCAAAGTACTATTTCAACCAGTTTTAGGTAAAATCATAATAATTTTAGATTTATTTATTTAGAACTACTACTCAGCATTTTATCATGTGAGACGAAATCTTAAGAGTATTTGTCCACTTTACATATGGATATGCAATTTGACCCAGCAGGGCCAGATTTATTAGTTATGACAATGTACAACAACATTTAATGCTTCACTTCAACGCATGCCCTGCATGCTACACTATCCATCTTGGTGTCAGTAATACTCATCTCAATCACTCTAATGATCGTGTTTTTATTGTTTGAAAGCAGAAAGTCGAATTAGAATTAATTTGCAAAGTAAATTATAATCCTTTTCATCCCTTTAGGCTCAATTCAAGAGTTGACTTCTTTATGATTCTTTTGAAAATGTTTTTAGTCATTGTATTTGCATTTTTGCAGGATGAGTCATTCAATGGATTTAAAATTTTAATACTGGTGATATTTTCAACAATGAGCTTTTCAAAATACTACTAACTTAGACCATTCTACAATAACAATGTCAATCATGTAAAATTAAAAATAGTAATAGGAATTTTTAGGCTATGTCTGTTCTCTATGGTATATTTGCTTGGACAAACTATATGATACTTTTGGGAGCAATTTTATCCAAAGCAAATTTCGACATGCTCTTAGTCATTTATCTTTTGGGAATCCCTATCGTTATAGCCTTAATTCTTACCCTTGAGAATTAAAATACAAAGCTTTTATTAGCACCTTTATTCAAGTTTTAAAAAGGTGAGGATGCACTTTCACAGTTCAACCAGCTAATCTTTCTGATTGAAACAAAAGATTCCATCAGAGAGAGTGCTATTTTGATAAAGGGATTTGTAAATTATCATGAAATGACTTGCGCTGATGAGGAGTGTTCCCTAAAATAATACCAGAAGAATGTTCTAAAGAGTCAAAATTAAGGAAATAGATTGAATCAACATTCTAAGATAAAAATTAATGGTTAAAATGGTTAAGCTAATGGAGCTTCTTCATCTTAGAAACTTATATAAAATGAATCTAATAGTTTACTTTTGAATTTTACTAAAAAGCTACTTGAAAAATCAATCAAGAGATTTCCTTAATGTACAATATTAAAGATCACTTATTCGAATTTCTTACTGGATCATATGGGTAATAAAAGGGAGGCGATGAAAGAATTAAATGAATGCATCAGATTAAAACCTTCCCTTGACTAATAATTTATCATATTTAGGTATAAGAAGCTCATAGGTGATTCACTAATGGAGAGTGGAAAAGAGAGCGGTGGATTTGAATATGTTTCAGCAGTAAATTTTGAGTAAAATTACAGGAAGTGCAAAAACAATATTGAAAAGACAGCTTTATTACACTATGAACTTTGGAATCACTTACTAGAAGATTCACCTGATCTAGGTAGACTTAGTGATCTAGGGTTTAGAATTGATTACCAATTAAAATAAGTTGAGATTCATTGGAACTAAATGTAAATGATTTACCCTAATACTCCTAAAGCTCTCAAACTCTATGCATAATTCTTAATTGATGTACTAAATGATAAAGAAGGTGGTAATGAACTATTATTAAAAGCAAAGGAGAGTTCTTAAATCAAAGCTAACTTTGACATTGGAGGAAATGCCGAAGATATGATAGTAGGCGGAATGGGTCTAAACTAATAAGATGGATCTCCACTGATTTATATAAGTGGGGAAAATGATAGATTAGGTCTTATTTCAAACCTTAATTTATCAGCATGCAGAGTTTTCGGCTACCTCAGAAAAGAAGAGCTAATGAATAAAAATATAAAAGTACTTTAGCCAGGCATCTATCAATTTTATCACGATGAATTTATTAGGTCAGCTTTGTTAAAATCCTCGGAATAGATGACGAATAAAGAGAGAAGTGTATATGGCAAACATATATCTGGCTATATATTTCCATTAAGTTTATAGATAAAATTCTTCTAGAGTTTTCTTCATGGCAAATAATTTGTTGCAACTTTGAAAAGTGAGAAGAAAGGTATAAATGCTAGTGTCTCCTACGTTCTAGTTGATAAGAATGGAATAGTACTTGATGTTACCTCAAGTATGTAACTTTATTGTTAATATATATTATAGGTGCCATTTAATTACTTAACATCGATAAATAAAAGATGCTTAAAAAAAGAATTAAATATGATCTGACTCTATTGATACCCTCTTTATTTAATGGAGACTAGCAAAGATTTTTTGGCAAATAGGGTGATAAGGTAGAATTTTCCTACCCAGAAATAATTGAAAATCAAGAAAAAATAAAGCAAAGTAAGTATTTATAGATGTTTTTAGACAATTAGATGAGCAGAACAACGTAGCAGAGGAGAATAAGAGTGATCACAGTTTTACTTCAATTGAAGATGATGGAGAAGCCTCTTAGAATGGATTAAATTTCAATAAGAGTTAGCATGCTTTTAACAACGAGGAGAGTGACAAAGATAACAACAAAAATCAAAACTCTGGCATGGAAATGTTTGATGAACAAAACATTGAACTAAATGTTAAAGCCTCTGAAAAGAAAGCATAATTTCACTGCAATATGTTTCCTATTTAATTCTAATGTATAAATGGAGGTGAAACTTAGGGCTACTCTGTAAGACTTGAACTAATCAATGAGGAAAATAAAGATAGCATCAGCGATGCTTTTAATTAAATAGGAGGAAGAAGTAAAGTAAAGGATAAACTGAAAAAATATGTGAAGATGACAGAGTTTTAATTTAGTTTTAACCCAATCTATAAGAAATTTGTTAGAGAACTCAGAGATGAAGAAAGTAAAATATTTATCAGATCTAAAATAATTGTATAGATAAGGATGCCTACTTGGATAAAGCATTGAGACATGTTTAAAAGGAAAATGAGAGAAGAGGAGATGACAAGAATAAATTGACAGTAATGAGTTACCTTAATCAAATGAAAGTAAAACTAGAAAAAATTGAAGAAAGTAAAAATGCTGCCAATCTTGGAGAAGATTTCATTAAAGAAGTGGATGAATATTCATCTGAGTCAGATGAAGAATATGGAGGTAGAAGAAGAAAACATGAAAAATCCAGCACAATAAAGAGTTATGAAACAAATGATGAATCTAAGAAAGTAGAGACTGAAGGACTCACATAAGAGTAATAGAAAAATATGCAAAAAAGGATCAATCAACTCATAGGTTAAAAAGGCATTCAAAATAATGAGAGTGCAGATAAACTTATAGAGAAAATTTAAGAAATTACTGATATACTAAAGCATAAAGCTAAATGTGCAGAAGACATTTAAACTTATAGAGTGTTTGAAGGGGAAGTATCTCTAGTTGAGGAAATATCAGGCAATTTTCTGATTAACAAATCAGCAGAGACTACACAAGCGGAGACAGAGGAAGTGGAAGACGATGAAAAGAAGAGTGATAAGATCGATGATATCTTTAAAAATTCTCTCAAGTCAAGAAAAGCATTCTAATCCCAGTTAAATGATAAAAGTATGGTTCCAGCTGTTAAGAATATTCAATACTCTGCCAATTTTATATTGATATCACTACTTGTACTAACTATCATCGAATATTTGGCAGTTAGAGATCAATTCACCTAAATTAAGTTGAATTTCTAAGCTATCTAAAAAACATTTATGATGATTTCAGAACTCTAAAGATCTTCATATCATGTAAGGGGTCTGGAGTTGTACAGTCAAAGTATCCTCAATCTCACAAATTAAGATTTGAATTTGTCAAAAAGTGATATGAAGGAGTCATTAAACAAAATTTATACACTATAAAGCCAGATTAATCTCTAAAAATTATCTTTAAGCAATGAACATAGTACTCTTCTTGATGGTAAAGTGGTATAAATGTATTTTAAGCAATAAGACAATATCGCTGATATCAAGGCATTGAATTTTTCATTAACAGAAGGTCTTCTCTAAATATCATCCTCATTATTTACTCTAACTAATATGGATAATAAGAGCTTCAATGATACCTAAGACGATGTCTTTTACTTTATGTATAATAACTTTATGGACATGCTTGATGCTATTTGGAAATCAGTAAGACTCTATGTCATAGAGCTGAGAGATAGAACAGAAAATTAAGAAATTAATAGAGTAGTTTTTTATACTAGCATTGGTGTAGTAATCATTGCAATATTTTCCTTAATACCAGTTGTACATTTGGTAAACCTTAAAAAGAAGAAATTTCTTGAGATCTTTTTAGAAATGGATAATAACAATATCAGAAAACTTGCAAATAAATGCGAAAAGTTTATGAATATATTATAAGATGAAGGGAATGATGAAATGGACTCGAACGACGAAGAGTTAGAGGAGATCGCAAGGCAAGATTAAGAAGATGAATACTAAATGTCCAAGAGAAGTAAAAAGAAGAAGGCTAAGAATACAATAAAAAACAACAAAGCATTTATAATTAAGTTCATTATAGGAATGATGCTGATCGAGATCTATTTCTTTGCTAACTTCTTTACTCAAAATGCTTCTATGAGTGCATTTAATGTATAATGCTCAGAGATGAACATGACTGGTTACATAGAACCTCACTATTGGTTTAGTTTGAATGCACAAAGGGAGCTATTTAATGATAAAAGCAGGCCAATAGTAAACAGAAATGCATTTGAAGTTTCAAGAGAAGCTCTATCCTAAGTATAAATCATGAACTCTGTAATGCAGCAGGAACATCTTTAGAATAGAGGTTCTACAGATGATGAATACGACAAAGAATTTCAAAACTCTATGCTGAATGATGTTTGTCCATCATTTTTAGTTTCAGCTCAATACAACTTTTAGAATATTACTGGATAGTAGTGCGATAAATTCATATCTGGCTCAACAACTTAAGGACTACATACAGTAATTGTTAGATATGAAGAGGGATTAAGAAGAACATTATCAAGTTACCAAAAATCAAATAAGACAGCTAATAACGTCAAGACTATTATAAATTCAAAAGATCTTAGAGATGTGTTTTATGTTTAAAGACTCATTATCAGCCAAAAAATGCAAGACATAGTTTAAGTTCTTCAAGATTCAATTCAAACTAGAATCAACAGCGATTTGGAACTTAGACTTGCATTCTTCTGCCTCTTCATCATTTTTCTTTTGATGTTCTTTGTTTTAATGTGGCTACCATTCCTGAGTTAGCTTTCAAATGAGGTTCATCAAACAAAAAAGATTCTTCTTGTCATCCCATTAGAATTGCTTATTAATATGAAGAATCTGGCAACTCTATTCAATAATTAGAATAACTAGAAAAATAAGGAGAAGAAGAATATTGGGTGAAATGTTAAAATATAGGAAAAAGATAACGTTAATGGATCTTTACTACCTTTGATCATTAAATCAAGATTGAATTTAAGCTTAATTTCATAAATAAATCATTGTCATATAATAATATTAGTCATAATTAGGTCATGTGCCCTCTATAAGTCATTATTTTTAATTCTTTCTATCTGACAGCCCTCTAAGAGAGTGATTCCTGAATTGATTCCTGCACCCTTAATCATTTGGCAAAGATTAAACACAGCCATTGTGTAAATTTGCTTTTGATTATCATTAAGTTATTCTTTGTTTAATGCAATTATGCTCTCATAAATTTCTTTTGCATTAATGTTAAGCCCCATAAATTGTAAAGCCCTTGCCACATTATATTAAACTTCGATCTTATCTTCTCTTGTCTCACTGTATCTCATTAAAAATGCAAGTGCCCTCTTAACTGATTTCTCTTTATCCTCATTAGTTCTTTGATAAGATTATGATAGATAGGTAATGGCTATAATTAAATTTAGGAGAGAATTCTTATTGTGATAAGCCTTGTTCAAAAGCCAGTAATGTCTCAATGCAAGTTCAATTTGTTATTTTTACAAATAGTTATTTCCAAGAATCATCAAAATAAATGGGTTAAATATCTGCTTAGATTGTAGAATTCTCTTAAAATATGATCTACAAAAGCTAGAATCATCGTTTTTAGAAATAATAGACCCCATCATTGCCCAATTTAGGATATCTTGCTAGTTTGAGATTTATCTTAAAGCTTTATATGCTTTTTTATTTTAATCTGAAAGGAAATAAGCAATAGTTGAGATTTCGTAGAAAATCTTATTCAAGTTCTCGTTTGTACTAATGATTTATTTTAAGAGCTCGACTTAATTAAGCAAGTCTATAATTTCACTGGCTAATTGATATTTTTCACTTTGAATCAAACTCTTTAAATAATTAAACAAAATGTCAACCAATTCTTCTGGCTTTATCTAAGTCAAAACAGTTGGATATTAATCAATTTCCTCTATAAATTTGAACTTAGCGCTATGTACTATTCTTCCAATTTCTCTCTCAGAATCACTGTTGGTTAATTTTCTGATAAAGAAAGCTTCTTTCTAAGGAGTGTCCCCTTTTACATTTTACTTATAACTTAAATCTTATAATTCTTATCTGAGAATCATATTATCAAGTATCTTCTAGATTTCTCCATTTAGAGTGAGGCTTAATTAATCTATCTCGTTGAGTTTAATGTGAAGTTTACACTGCTCAAGGATAAGGATATATTTACTTGCTTAAAATTACATTAAGTCCATTTTTAATTTGCTCATTTTTTGCTTCATCTCGGATTAAGTTTCTTTTTCAATATCCTTCTTTATAATAGCTCTTTTTTAGATTCTTCTATTTCTCTTGAGAAGGAATTCTTTGTCATCAAATTATGGTTTTTTGAATGGTTCAAAAAGAGAATGAGTCCCTTGCATACTACTCATTCCATTAAGAGTTTGCATCATGCTGTCAGTTTAGCAGTCGCTTGAATTCTCACTACCAGTTAAATTCATCTGGCCATTCACTATAAATTTCCTCCAAGGTAGCTTACTTTTTCCAATCATTTATTCTAAGGTGTCATTTCCCTTATCAAATCCTTCATTTTCTGACTCATCTGAGAATATAATATCTTCATCATCCATTTTTCTTTCTTTGTGGGTTCTCTTCTAAAGTATCGACTCAGTTTATTCAGCTTATTACGTTGGGAATGGATTCTATAGAATCTCCAGAGCTTTTTTATTCATACCGAGATGGTTGTAAACACTACTTAATTCTATTCTTATTTGTCCATTTTATACGATAGGGCATTTAATGAATGCTTATTCTAGGGCTTCTTTTGCAAGATTGTAATCATCAAACTAAACATTGTAATCATTAAATGAATGAATTACTTTTTAATACAAAGTTCCTAATTTGTAAAGTATGTTAGGTTGGTCGATTTAGAGACTGAAATTTAAAAGACTTTCATATATTCTTATGGTACTTGTGACATCATTAGCTTTATTCTCAATGCAATCAGCTAGCATAAGTATAGAGCCTAAAAATCAATGTAAAATCTTAAATTAATAACTTACTAACTACTTTTTGGTATTGATCTAGTTTATCCGTGATGTTTAGCCTTTGGAATTCTGAAATACTTTTAATGAAGTCATCAATTTAAGTGCTCGAGGATCCTTCCTCAATGAGACACATAAATTTTCTTACTTAAATTTAGAAAACTTTGATCTTATATTCACTTTACTTCTTAAGATTTTCAAGAGTCTCCTTGATTGTTTATCTTTTCATTTGTTTCATGAATTCCTCTAATTAATTTGTTTGCCTTGCAATGTCACCATATAGAAGTAGGATTTCAAGAAGATGATTGTTGTCATTTTTATTTAGCTCAACCATCTAGTCCAAAACTTCAAAACTTTTTGACTGTTAGCCTTGCTCAAAGAAGGTTTAAGCTAGAGCTTTATTCAGTATATAGGATCTTCTATAATCCGTGATGAATTTCTTAATCATCTTTTATAAGGTTCTAACAGCAGAGCTGTAGTCATTTTGCATTTTGTAGATGCTTATTTTCTCGAATTTCATTTTTATTATCTCATCAATATCTGTTGTTTGAGATGTTTGTTTGATAGCTCTATTCATGCAATAGATGGCTATTGGAAGTTTCCTCAGAAATTTAGCAATATTAGCGCACTTCTACCATCTTTCGACGTCAGTCTTGAGGAGGAAAGCAGCCATAACTCCAAAGTTCAAACTCTTCTCATAATCGCCCATCTCCTCTAAAATGTTAAAAAAATATGGACTAATTCTTACCATAAATACTAGAAATCGTGGAGTAAGACTCAGCATGGTCTGGCATCTTAGTAATAATTTCTTCTAGTATTTCGATTGCCTCCTTGAACTTATTGAAAGCGTAAAGATTATTTGCCTATCCCATTTTGGCTTAAATCTCGAAGGGTAGTTTTTTATTAGTAGTAATTTTATGGCTATAAGATTTATTTTTGAATCTTTGTCGGATTGATTATTGTAAATCATGTGCAAACATCTTTACAATTTCCTCAAGCTCAGCTGGTTGCTATTACTCAATCTCAACTTAAATTATGGAGTTAGAGGATTGCTCAGATTTGGATGTAGCATGTGAATTATTATTATTCATTTTCTTGTTTTCCCCTTGATCATCCTCTGATGCATACCCAAATGAAGAGCTCTCATTTTTAATAATGTTTGGCTTGATATTCGAGGATAGATCAATTCTATCACTGCTTTGATGTTTTTCCTCCCCATTTGAGCTTAATGCTTAGCTTATAAAAATGTTGGGGTTCTCTAAATTGGCGGATGAGTCGTCATCACTCTCATATTAAACATTCAACATTTCTCTCGCTTATTATAGTTATCTATTATTATAATCTTAAATCTATACCAGTCCTTAAATACTTTAATGTACCAATCTATAAAAGTTCTATTTCATGGGGTTTTGGGGTTTTGGGGTTTTGGGGAGATCGGAAGAGCACACGTCTG